CACACAACTATGGAGGGGCTCAGAGAGTTGGGGTGAGTTGAGTGGGTTAGGTGGGAGATGGTATGCATCCTAGAGTGGGGAGTACATAAGTCATGTTTTTTTTCTGAGATGACCATTAGAAGTGGAGAGGGAGATAGTTCGTCGGTTCATTCCCTAAGCGTCACCTTCCCCAGACTCTTTGCCTAAGGGAAGATCTGACCATCAAACTGAGACTCGGCCTTGGCTCTGTATACTTTGGGCACCTCCAGGAGCTGCCAGAGGGTCTTGTCCGAGGGTGTGAAAGGCACAACTTGGTCCATTGTTTCAGTCTTGTGCTCTTTACATGGCAGCCAAACCCAGAGGCACCAGTCACAGGACTCACAAGCAGAGACCATAACCACATCTTCATCCTTCCTGGAAGTGACTGGATATGCTAGAGTAGGAGTGCTGAAATGGGTTAAAAACCTCACCCCTGGGATTGTGCTGCCCATGGCAGCCTTGGCTCCCAAGAGAGAGCCCAGAGAGCATCAGCAACAGGACCAACTGCCACATCAGCAGAGCTGGCTGGGCCTGTCTGCACAGAGCCAGCTGGTACCAAGACTCCAGTGTTCACTCAGGATAATGGAATCTACAGGATAGTGGCATGCACCCAGAGGCCTGAAAGTTCTCATTTGGACTGAGCAGGACAGACTTTCTCAGCTACCACTGCTGCTGAATAAACATTAGTGCTAATCAAAAGTCTACTCCTAAGATGGATCCTAATATTCTTTCTGTATCTCGAGTCAGCCTGGCTCCCAGTGCCAGCTTTGGTAAGCCTCTACCCTCTTATCATCACAACTAGCATCAGCTTGCTACCCAGAGCTATGGCCCTATGTAGGGATTTGCACACATCTGTTCCCACCTGCTTTCGCATTCATCTGCCTCTGATGCCACTACCTACTTAAGGATGTACTCACATACTCACATTTGTTTTAAATCCCGAGAAACCAGGCCAGCAAGATGGTCCGGCAGGTGAAAGTGCTTTCCAGAAACAAGGTTCTTGACCTTAGTTTCAATTCCCAGAACCCACATGGTGTAAGAAGAGAACTGACTCCTGAAAGTTGTCCTCTGATTTTCACGTGTGTGTAGTGGCATGTTCATGCACACACACAAATAAGATATACTTTTTAATTCCTAAGAAATTTACTAAAATTATTGGAATCAGTGAATCCTCAAGGTCATGAAAGATCAATGTTCAAAATAATATTTTTTATCCGTTCTTTAAATTACTTATTTTCAACTGTGTGTTTATGTATCTATCTGTATGTGCACATGACTGAAGTCCCTGTGAAGGCCACAGGAGGGCGTCGGATGCCCTAGAGGTAGCATTATAGGTAACTGTGAACCAGCTTATATGGGTACTAGGAACCAAACTCTTATCCTCTCCAAGAGCAGTACAAGGTCTCTCTAGCCCCTTCCACCTGCTTTTAATGAATAAACTAAAAATAAAATGGAGAAAGTAATCCCACTTGCAATAGCATCCAAAAGAACAAAATACTAGAAATAAATTCAACAAAGGAAGCACACATGTTATGCCCTGAGAGTACAAGGCATTGTTGAAAGAAAGTAAAGAGCATCTCAATCAATGGCGGAGCATCATCCTGTGTTTGTGGACTGGAAGGCTTACTTTTTAAAAATGAGACAACTCCCCATGTTGACCTATATATCCAACACAGTCCTGATCTTAGCTGACTTCTTTGTGGATACTGGCAAGTCAATCAATTCTAAAACACATGTGGAATTGCAAGAGATCCAGAATCATCGAGACAACTCTGAAGAGAACAAAGTTAGAAGATGCATTCACACTCTCTGGTTTCAAGCACATTGACAGCCAAGGTGATGTGCCTTAAAGACAGACATAGATCAGTAGTAGCACAGAACTGAGAATCCCTGATACACTTGCTCATCTATAGTCAATTTGGATGAGAGTGCTAAGACTATTCAATGTTTTTTCAAAAAGTCATGGTGAGGGCAGGGATGTAGAATACCAGAAACAAGAAGCCCTTTTTAATCTTTCCTATATTGCTTGTAGAGGAAGGAGGATCCCAACCTATGGTGATTAATATGATGTAAAATGGCTTAACACTGCATTTGAGAAGCAAATAAACATAAGTGATGAAAATCCAAATAACAAAACATTCTGGTGCTACCAACCCTCATTAGACAAAAGCAAAATAAACTAAGATGTCTAGAAACTTGAGACTTTAGCAGGGAGACAAAGTCCTCTTCCCCTTTCTGTATTAAGAGTTAGGGACATTAGTATGATAGATGCCATCAGCCAAAACACCCAGGTGATACTCAAAGACCCGTGATTATTTCTTCCTAAATTCTCCTCTAGACCTTTGTTTTTTTTTCTAGAAACCAGATACAGTCGTTTCCTTCATCCTACTTTTAGACCAAGGAGCTAGAAAAGAAGGGCAAGGAGGGTGCTGCCTGATTAGACAAGGCATACTTCAATCCAGAGAAGAACAATTTTCCTACAGCAAATCTGAGCTTCCTAACTTGGTAGCTCATGGTCTAAATTCCAAAAGGAAAATTAACAAATGATGACAAAGGGTCTTCTGACAGAAAGTGATACGTTCCAGGTCCAGTGAGCCAAAGGGTTCCCTTCAGGGGACTGCTGGCACTCTATGCTAATTTTCTCAAAGATTGTTCACCTTTATTCAAAGAATGATGTCAGCCTGGCTTGCCCAGCAACCAGCTAGCTACATTGCAAAGACAACGTCTGCATTTGTAAGTTTCCTTAAGGGTAAAATGAATTAAAAACTACATGCCTCAGGCTTTAGTGGGACTTTGTTAAAAAAGAGAGAGAGAAAGAGAGAGAGAGAGAGAGGGAGGGAGGGAGAATGACTTGAAAGCAATGCCATACAATAGGACTACAACACATTATACAAAGCAACAGGATGTGGTTCAACTCCAGAAAGACATTTGGAGAAAATTAAGGGAAAAATATAATATAGGGTAGGTAAAAGATTATAGTAAAAAAAAAATCTTTGTTTACTTTCTTAAGGGTAATAGTGATCTAACATTTCCAGAATTGTGCTGATATATGGATATACATATGGATAAAACCATATGACGTCAAGATCTACTTTTAAAAACTGAGAAAAGGAAAAAAGGGATATAATGTAAGGGGGGCAAAATGTTGGGATTAACAAGAAGACCCCAACTATCCATAATTTGCTCAAGTGCATATCTGAACATCTTCGGCATAAAACAACTTCAATGTAGAATTTTCTAGGACCTTAGTCCGCTTTCTGATGATTACATCCACAGCCCAGAAAAATCTGTTTCCCTCACAAAGCTCTTCCCAACTAGTTAGTTATCCAGAGGTCAGAGGGTTAGGGAAGAGGCCAGGAGAAGCTCCCAGCTGGGAAGAAAAGAAATAAATGCAAGTGTCCTAGAAGTTCAGGGAAGCTTCAGACTGTCAGGCTCCAGTGTGTGCTTTGTCCTTAGAACCAGATTTTATGCTCTGTGTTGCTACTTAATGTGTAAGTGATTTTGCTTTTTAACACAAAGGTCACAGGGAAAAAGCAGCTACAGATTACTGAGACCCAGTCTCCTTAGGGATAGCCTGGAGACCATCAGGGACTCCCAGGCTTCACACATTTTATCATGGGTTTAACAGATGTCCCAAGGACTAGAGAATAGGACTAGGGGAAGGCAACGGTTAGAAAGAAGTTATAGTTTTCTCCGAGGTAAGGTCAGTCCAGTGACATGACCTTTGAAATGAATTCATCCTCCCTCAAGCTGCTTCCTGGCCAATTAAGTACACAAGATGCCATGCCTACTCCAAAGACGAAAAATGGGCCTACACACAGCAAGTGGTAATGCAAGGGAGGGCTCCAGCTAAGAGATAGAGGTTCGAGTCCTCAACACTGAACCAGAACTGTTGAACTTCAGCACTTCGATGTGGGGGGAAAATATCCATTGAACTAATTTGAGCATCTCTTCAACACCAAGGTCTTAGGGGGTAGAATTAATTTGGGCGTGTCTGGCGTCGTGCATCTCTCATCTGAACTTGGTTTCCTAGCCACATTAGGTAACTCAGTCCCTTGCTTCATACAGCTGCACCTCTCCACCGTGCATTGGGTTTCACTGTGATTGGTTGGTGGTTGGTTGGTTGGAAGATTTTTAGTATTCTTTGTAGCGCCAGGACAGGGAGTGATGGAGAGAAAGGAATGTTTGTTTCCTCAATCATTTCTATCGGAACTGAATAGAGTCACTTTAGTCAGGCCACTACACCCTATTGCTCCAAGACTTGGGGAAAGGGGAGCAACACACCAGGAGGCAACCGAGTCCGGGTAGGACAGAGGAGCCAAAAGTCCTGCGTGTTTGTGTCGCAGGTTTTCCCCCCTACTGCTCAGTCTCTCCTGGATAACGGTGAGGAGAGGTTCCAGGGCGACTTGGTAATGAATTCTTGGGGCGGGACCTCCCCCACCGCATCCCTGTTCACAAATCCCAGGCTCGTTGGAGCCTTTGTAACAGGTTGGGTAGAAAACCCAGTTGCAAGCTGTGCGATCTACAGCTGCAGGGCACTAGACCTCACAAAGCCCAAAACTTCGGTCACAGCCACGCTTCAGTGTCTTCCCAGCCCCCTCTCCATCACGAGCTCCGTATATCAAAAGCTGTAACTCTGGCCACTAGCCGCGCTTCCAGATGCCCCTTCCCCACTATGCACCCTACTAGGCATCCAGTATGCATCCCAAAGCCCCACGCTCTGTCCGGGAGTGCCTAGGGTCATCAGGAGTCAAGCACCCAACTCCTGGGGTAAATCGACCGCCTCCCGGGACCCTCCCAAGTTGGGACTGGGCGGGGCTGCTGGCATGGCGGGGGCATAGGGGGACCTGTCAGCTCGCACGTCCTCCTGCATTCCTGACTGGAGCTGGCCCAAGGGAGGAAGAAGAGAGGGATGGAGGCTGCGTGTTCCCATTAGCCTTCAGACAGCGAGAGAAAGGGATGACCAGAGTAAGCGCTCTTACTTGGCAGCAGGGCTCCGTGGTGGCCAGGCTGGGACTGGGCTCTCAGCAGTGGCCCCTCTCCGTGCCGGTCGCCGAGGGCCCAGGGGAGAAGCGAGGAGTGCGGGCAGGAGTGGGCTACAGCGCTGGGCAGGCTTTCGCCTCGGGCTTTTAAAGAGAAACTCGCCACAAACCCCTCCCCCGACCTCCCCTCTCGCCCTGAAGGCGGCCTCCAGTTTAGCCCAGCCTCCACCCTTTGTTGAACTTCCTCGGCTTATCCCGGGAATGGAGGCGAGGTGCGGTCCGGGGAAGGGGGTGATCAGCAGAAGTTGGGGCAAGCTGCGCTGGGACACTGGACTGCGCGCGTTCCAGACAGTGCCCTCTTCTCCAGAAGATTCCGCACCCTCCAACATCCCCGCCCTGCATTCAAATTCCCCAGGGTATGATTTACCAGGCTTAAGACCCACACTGAATGCAGCCCTTACCTGAAAACTAAAAGTTGGAGAAGCTTTCATTCATCTTGCTCCGGTTTCGCGTACTTTCTCTGGTTGACGGTTCTAAACAGCAAACCCAAATCGCTGGCCTTGCAGCCCCAGGATCAATCACATCTGTGCACTGAGGCAAGACAGAAAAATTGAGACGAGGGCGGGAAAAGAAGCTAGTCTCTGGATTCTGGCTGGAGTTTAACACTTTATCACAACTGATAAAATTGAAATTGCCTATGGGGATAAAGCTGGTCTTCCAAAAGGTTTCTCAAGCAAGAGGTTAAAGATGAACTAAAAATAAATCAATCTGGGGTAGAGCACTGTACCTAAAGGGTACTCCAAAGGGTATGTGGTTGTTACATAAAAACTGGTACCAGAAGTGGGTTACTTCTACACTTGTCCGAGGAGGCTCCTGAGACCCCATAAACCATGATATATATATATATACATATATATATATATATACATATATATATATTTGTTGTTGTCAGTTGCATTCCAGAACCAGACAGACAGACACAGTTTATGAAGACACAGTATACTTTGGTTCCAGGACATGGAGAAATAAAGCTGGGACTGAACTGGCTTTCATGGTGTCCCATGTTATGTGGACTGCTGCAGGAAGGATGGCCAGTAACAATCCTGCTCAGCCGTGCATCTTGTGTGTTGCAGGCAAGCTGTCCCTGCTTGTACAGTAGTGGCATGGCTATAATGGCTAAAACCAGCAGCCTTTTTGACTAGAGTTGAGACTCCACAGGTGAGAGTTCACATCTGGTGCTGAAAGGCCAGACAAACCCTGTGACTGCGCAGATCACAGACCTGTGGAGGGTGGCTGCTGTCATTGATCTCACTGTTGCTGTCAGCAGCAACCCACCAAGGAAGGAAACATCCTTTTGCCATAGATGGTATACTGCAGAGACAGAGACATATAACCACTGGGGTGCGGTGGGGGACCTTGAGTGAGCCAGGTAACAAATTTCCTTCATGGTTTCTCCTTCAAGCTCTTGAAGCTCCTGCCCTGCCCTTCCCAATGATGGACTGTATTGGATAAGCTGAAATAGCCCTTGCTGCTAATAGTGGCTTTTGGTCCGGATATTTTATCAAAGTAACAGAAAAGGAAACTAACAGGTGGGGAGACTCAGGAAGTAAACAAACTTCACAAGTCTGAGCTTGTAAGATTCAGGAGCCCCCACCAAGTACAAAACAGCTGCCTGCGGAAGAGACTCCAGCAGCCCAGCCACTGTGGCGAAGGAGAAGAGACGGTGCTGATGATGAGGCAGCCTTCAGTTAGACCCAAAATGCATATGTGCTCGTACTTTTCTAGATGTTCCCTTCTGGTGGAACCATCCCAAGAGTTTCTCACAGCTGGTTCAGTCCACGTAGAACTTTTTAGACTCAGCAGCTCTTTTCCACTTACCTACTGTCACAGCTGCTTCGTGTCCGGCTCGCGGTCCCTGCCAGCCCCGCTATTGCCTCCACCACCACTGTTTTCCCCAGCACATGGCAGCTCTTACTGCTCTTTGCTGCCCTTTCGCAGGGCCCAAGTTTGGCTCCCAGCACCCACCAGCCTCCACAGGAACCAGCACTCATGTCCACATCCATGCAGACCAATACACATACACATAATTAAAAATAATTTTGAAATTAAGTTTTAAAAAACTAAGTAAGCTGGTTTACTTATTTTGCCTATTTGAAAGAATTTCCTGGAGCTGGAGAGGTGGATCAGTGGTTAGAGCACCTGCTGCTCCCACAGAAGGCCCAGGTTCAGTTCCTAGCACCCATGTGGTGGCTCACAACGATAAATAACTCCAGTTCCAAAGGATCAGACACCCTCTTCTAATCTTCATAGCATCAGGTATGCACGTGGCACATATAATACACAAGCAAACCATTCATAGTCATCAAGTTAAATAAACCTTTTTTTTTAAAAAAAAAAAATCTCCTTTAAAAATGAAACTGGTAGGTGGCTGTGTGAGCTACATTATTTGGATTAGGGATATGAGGAAGGCCAAGACAGTTAAACTCAACACTGCAAATGTTTTAGCCCTAATCAGCACAGTTTAATGTTTTTAACATCCTTGTTGGCGATGTCTTTAGGAAAGAAAGCACTATTTTTGTAGGCACTTTTGATTTTATCAGTTGTGGTAAGGTTTCATACTCCCAAACAGAGTCTGGGGGAGTGGCTTTCCATGTTCCCTTGATTTTCCCCTATGGTGACTCATTCTGACCTGCCCCCACTGTGAACCCCAGAGCCAGGAATGTTATTATGTCTTTTTGAACAATGTCCATCCCCCACTCGTTAGACCTTTAATCCTATGAGTGTAGAGCTTGCTAACCCTGACCCTGACATGACACAAAGGACCTTAGAGGTCACAGGATCCCAAACATTTCATTACAATGGAGAAGGCTGCTCCATAGAGGGACTCCCTTCATCTGTCAGCAGCAACATGGCGCGGAAGCAGCCCAGTGCACTGCCTGTAGCCCGAGGCCTTCCCTTTCCCCCTTCCTTTTTCCTCTGTCACCTCTGTCCCAGTAAACCCAGTCCTTGACTCCCCAGTGTTTATGAGAAAGTTTTCCTAAGGAGACCCCCACAAACACACACACACACGTGCACACACACACACACACACACACACACACACGCACGCACGCACGCACGCACGCATGCAGGCATGCAGGCATGCACACACGCACGCACGCATGCATGCAGGCATGCACACTCCTACTTACCCCAGATAGAACATCCAAACAAAACAAGGTAATGATTGCACCAAAGTCCAACTTGGTGAACCAATGAGCTTTTACTGGGGTTAATGGTTGATGTGGGAGGACCCAGCCAATTCAGAAAGTGCTCCCTCCTGGCCTGGGCAGTTGGTCCTGGACTATAATGAGAAAGTTGGCTGAGCAAGCCATGGGAAGTGAACCTAAAAGCATAATTCCACTGTGGTTCTGCCTCAGTTCCTGACTCCACATCCCTGCTTTGAGCTCCTGCTCTGATGTCCTGATGGACTGTGATACCAAAGTAGATGCCAAATAAATCCTTTGCTCCCCAGGTGGTTTTCAACAACAGAAACAAAGCAGGACCAGGGTGCTGCCTACTGCTGCTAGCTTCTGTTTGATGCTGATGTACTGCTGTTGAAAGCTGGGGATTAAAGTAGCCTCTAAGAGCTGGAGCCTATGAGGAGCAGTAGGCTCAGGCCAGAGTCACAGACCCAGGCAGCAGACTGAAGGGTGCTTTGCAAAGACCATTCCAGTAAGGAAAAGATGGGATTCTTGGTTTCACTGCAGGATGAGCTAGTATGAGGCAGAGCTGGAATTTATTGAGAAGAGATTTGGGGGGGGGGGGAATCAGTAAACTAACTCGGTGTGTAATGACACCTGCTGCTAAGCCTGCTGACCTGAATTAGAAGCCCACATGGTAAAGGGGAAAACTGACTCCCACAAGTTATTCTCTGATCTCCCTAACATATGCCATTGCATGTGCTTTCTCACTAAATACAAACACTAAATAAATATTATAGGTTCAATTGGAATGTCAAGGTCAGGGTTAGCAAGCCCCCACACTCACAGAATTGAACAATGTCTAGAATAGGAACGGAGGCATTCAGAGAAAGAATAACACACATGTGAACATGTTAGGAGAGAGTCACACTTCATTTTGGTGGCTCTCAGGTTTACTGGTTTTTTTGTTTGTTTGTTTGTTTTTGTTTTTTGAGCCTAGGTCTTACTAGGTAGCCTTGGATGACCTGGAATTCACAGAGATCCCCCTGCCTCTGCTTCTCAGTGCTAGAATTAAAGACATGCACACCATGCTAGGTCTTCTCAAATTACATGTTGAAGGGTTTCTAAGGACTTTCTATTGTCTCATTTTTAATAAATAGAATTATAGAGTGGCTCTGGGGTGCCTTGGATACATCTGCAATCTGATACAGCACAACCATGGATCATAAAGGGGTTAAGACATGTCTTTGCAAATGAAATTCCTTGAAAGATTTCCTGGAAATATTTGAAGCTTGGAAAGGAGAAAAGCCATATTCCATCATATACACATGGGCTTGGAACATTTGTTCATTGCTGCTTCACTCAGGTGAAGGCAGCCTTCACAGAACTGTTAGCCATGCTGGACTCTCAGCAGGAGGATGGGAGCAGACTCTTGGGTAGTGGTTCTCAACCTTCCTAATGCTTTAATACAGTCCCTCATGTTGCTGTGACCCCTCAACCATTAAATTATTTCATTGCTACTTCATATGTAATTTTGCTACTGTTATGAATCATAATGTAAATATCTGATATGCAGAATATTTGATATGCAACCCTTAGGAAAGGGTTATTTGAACCCCAAAGGAGTTGTGATCCACAGGTTGAGAACAACTTTTTTTCCCTTTCCATTTCTCAGTCTGAGTGCCTATATCCAGGAATCTCTGGCATCTAAAGCATGGACCAATAGACTCTCAGGGCTTAGAGCTGTATGCCTCTGGGTCCACCAGTCTAGCCACTAGGTCTAAGTCACTCAAGAGGTTTTCTAATGCTTTTCCACATTACCTTTCTATTAACCTCTGAGGCCACCCGTGGAGCCAGCAGCATGCTCTCTCTGCACCTCACACAGGTAGTCAGTGTTTGTGATATGCACCAGAT